CGCTCCCTGTGGACACAGGGAGCGATTCCCTCAGGCCGTCAGGAGAGGTCGGGAGGTCTTCAGGGGAATCCTCCCTGCTCCAAACCACGGCTTTTTGGTCTCTGACCTGCTGTGTGCTGCCTCTTCTCTCCCATCCTCTTCCCTAATTTGGGGTTTATCTCCCTGCTCTGGGCTGGTTATCCCTGGAAGTGCTCAAGGCCGCGTTGGATGGGTCCCAAATTTAGGTTATCATGCTCAAGCCAGGAGAGGGAGAAATGGCTCCCCCGGGCTTTGTGGCCACATTTCCCCCCACACATCCCCTAATCACACTTCCTCTAATTCCCTAATCCCCTAATCCCAGGGTCTGATTGGAATCTTTCCGACATTTTTTGAGGCCCAGGTGGGAAGTCACTTGGGTGGATAATTAACAGGATTATAAACATGGAGAGTGGCAGGTGTTGGTAGGACCAGGGGGAATGGTTTGGAACTGAAGGAGGAAAGATTTAGGTGGGATATTGGGAAGGAATTCCTCCCTGGGAGGGTGGGGAGAGGCTGGGATGGATTTCCCAGAGAAGCTGTGGCTACTCCAGCCCTGGAAGTGTCCAAGGCCAGGTTGGAGAAGAAAAGGTTCCAAGGAGACCTTAAACCCCTTCCACGGTCTGAAGGGGCTCCAGGAGAGCTGGAGAGGGATTTGGGATGAGGGATGGAGGGACAGGAAACAGGGAATGGCTTCAAACTGGAAAAGTGGAGATTTAGGTGGGATATTGGGAAGAATTCCTGGCTGTGAGGGTGGGGAGGGGCTGGGATGGAATTAATTCCCAGAGAAGCTGTGGCTGCTCCATTCCTGGAAGTGTCCAAGGCCAGGTTGGAGCACCCTGGGATAGTGGGAGGTGTCCCTGCCCACGGTGGGGATGGGACTGGATGAATTTTTAGGTCCTTCCCAACCCAAACCAGTCTGGGATTCCATGACTGTGCCAGCACTCGGAGCTGACAGTGCCGTGAATCCCGGAGGTGCCAGAGGATCCAAGCACCAGGATTCCCCTCCTCCCTGATCTTTAACTCCTCCAGGGAAGCTGCTGGAGCCAGGAGAGGTCACACCACCTGCAGCTCTCAGAGGACAGGTCGAGCCTAAAGCATCACTCACAGCTCTGCAGGGCTGGGCTTGGCTCCGGGCAGGAATTAACGGGAATTCTCCGCTTGAGCAGCGGAGCCGCTCCGGGTGAGCCCAGGGAAGGACACTCTCTTCCCTCAGAAACGTGTCCTCAGCCCTTGGGAAGAGGGATCAGGGGGAGCTCCCAGGATTTTCCGGGAAAAAGAGGGTGGGAGATGGATTTATGGAAGGGATTTGGTGCCTCTCACCCAGATTTTCCAAATCCCAGGATCGTTAAAGTCGGAAAAGATCTCCCAGATGGAGTCCAACACTCCTCCAAGGCCACCACTAAACACCAACCCACATCCCCAAGCATGGATTTAAATCCCTCCAGGGCTGGAAAACACTTTTCCGGGGAGGAATTTTCCCTTTCCCAGCCCTGGCTGCGACTCGACCTCACCTTAAATTGGGAGCTGATTTTCCTTAATTGCCACTGACAGGTAAATTAAACTCTTTAAGGGCCTGGAACCCTCAGGAATAACAAATATCTGTGCCCTGAAGTGAAGCCTCCAAGGGTGTGTCACTGCAGGATTTTCCAGCATCACTTTGTCAGCACTCCAAAAAAAAACCAAAAAAAAAGAAGTGCTTGGATCCCTTTCCCAGAGATTTATGGCATTCCAGAGGTGAATGGATTTTTGATTAGAGGAACAGTTGGTTTGGGTGGTTTTTTTTTGTCTCTCCCAAGTGGTGAGATAATGCTGGACCTCACTGAATTATCCAGGAGGAGCAAAGTCCCTTCCTCCCTCCCTCCCTGCAGCACTAAATCCCTGCTCTGAGGTGCAGCTGGGATCGATATTCCCGAATATCAAAGGGACAGGACACAGGGAACGGCTTCAGACTGAAAGAGGGGAAATTTAGATGGGATATGGGGAAGGAATGTGCCTCAGGGAACTGGTATCCTGAGTTTCCCTGAGGACCATCCAGGGTTTTTTTGGGTTTAAAAGAGGGAAAAGTCTTCCAGCAGGAGGATTTCCTGCAGCTCTGCCGCCCTTCCCGGGAGAGAGGGAGGAGTGGGAAGCTCCCACCAGGCCATTCCCACAGGCAGGTGCTTTGGAATAGAGCCCTTGGGAGAGGGGAGGAATTTGGAGATGAAAGAGCACAGGATTCCAGAATGGATTGGGTTGGAAGGGACCTAAAATATAATTTCATCCAGGTTGCTCCAACCTGGCCTTGGACACTTCCAGGGATCCAGGGGCAGCCACAGCTTCCCTGGGAAAGCTGTGCCAAAGCCTCACCATCATTCCAGGGAGGAATTCCTTCCTAAACTTCTTCCTAATTTCACCTGAGACCCTTTGGAGGTGCCTGGAGAGACCCAAAATTGGGACAGAAGCCCCTCTGGCACAGCTGAGCACCGTCCCTGCTCCTCCTGGCTCTTGCTCAGGGCAAAGACATCGATCCCATTGATCCCATTGATCCCTATCCTGGAGACAATTCCAGGCAGGAGAATCCTGCCCGTCCCAGGCCATGGATCTGCTCCTGGAGAGCAGCTGAAAGGAGATAAAATCAACAGGAGTTCATTGAAATGCAGCCACAGATCCCGGCTGGAGCAGAACTGGGGCCAGGAGAGAGGAGCAGCGGGATGGAGGGAGGGATGGAGGGATGGAGGGATGGATGGATGGAGGGATGGATGGAGGGATGGAGGGATGGATGGATGGATGGATGGAGGGATGGATGGATGGAGGGAGGGCTGGCTGGAGGGTTGGCTGGTTGGAGGGATGGATGAAGGGATGGGCTGGCTAAACTGGGCTGGAATGGACTGGGCTGAAGTGGAATGGACTGGGCTATACTGGGCTGAGCTGGGGTTAGGCTGGACTAGGTTGGATTGGCTAAACCAGACCGGAGTGGACTGGGTTGGGCTGGGCTGGGCTTTAATAGCCTGGGCTCAACTGGAGTGGGTTGGGCTAGGCTGGAATGGACTGGGCTGGGCTAACTTGGGGTTAGGCTGGACTAGGCTGGCTTGCCTAAACTGGGCTGGAATGGACTGGATTGGTTTGGGCTGGAGTGGACTGGGCTGGGCTGCTGGACTGGGCTGAGCTGGAATGGACTGGGCTATACTGGGCTGAGTTGGGAATAGGCTGGACTATGGGATTCGGGAGCATCCAATTGATTCTGGAGCATCCCAGGCATTCTGTAGCATCCCCGGGATTCTGGAGCATCCCAGGGATTCTGGAGCATCCCAGACTGTGGGTCTGGACGGACACACACCCAGGAGGATCTCAGAGGGGCAGAGATGCAGCCCTGGGGATTAGAGGGGGGGGGGATTTTTTTGGGTAGAGGGGACCACAAGGACCCAGGAGCCGCAGGCGGGGGTGGGCAGGCTCAGCCCCCGGCCCCGCGCTCGCTCTCCCACGGTCTGGTTTTTCCCAGGCAGCGGCTCAGGAAACTTCTCCCGGCTCCAGTTGCTGCGCTCCACCTTTTATTCTAATCGCTCCCGCATCGCCATAGGAACCCGCTCCAGCGGGAGCCGGGAGCGGCTCCTTCCCGGAGCGCTCCTTCCCCCGGCATGGCAAGGCATGGAGCCGGCATTCCAGGTACTATCCGTGCCCTCATTCCCTCTGGAATGCTCCCGCCGTGGGCACTGTGAGGAGGGGGGTACCAGGGACCCCCCACCCCTCCCGGGCTCGGGGTCCTGGATATCTGCTGGATGTTGTCCAGCGTGGGTGGAGAGGGCGGGAGCGAGGGGTTTGGGGTGGGAAGAGCCTTTCCTGGGGGGTCTGGATGCTCCCTGGGTGGTTTGGGAGCGGCAGGGGGGGGGGGGTTCCCGTGTGTGCCGGGATGAGCAGGGATGGGAAGGGTCCTGCTCCTGGCTGGGCTTCCCTGGGAAGAGCAGGGATTCCAGAGCCTGGGATTTAGGGAGAAAACATCCCTGCTTAGCTGGAATTGGGCTGAACATCCCCCTTGGTCCTTTCTCTTCCAAAACCTGGATGGGACATCCCTGGTACTCGAGGGGGGGCTGATCCACCCGGTGTGTCCCAAATTATTGGATCTTGTGAAGCTGCCAGGCTGGGAGAGCCCCTCCAGGGTGGCTCCATGGTTTTGGAGAGCTGCTGGAGGGGGAATTGGCATTCCTGTTATCCACAGGTTTAGCAGGAAACCAGCCCAGCTCCCACATGGGGGTTTTGGGGGGTAGGACTCGGAATCCCGGTGCCAGGGTGGAAGATGCTGGAAGAGGGATGTTGGGAGCGGATTTTGGAGAAAATGAGGGGATATCTGGGCACCTGAGGGATCCTGCTGAGCCTCAGGATCTTCCTGGGGCATCCAGGATGTCTCCTGGAGCCCAGATCTCCTCGTCCACGATGACAGAGAGGGGCCGAGGGGATCCACGGAGGAGCTCCTGGATCCTCCCGTGGGCATCAAACACCCCCAAACACGGGCTGTGGCACCTTGGGGAGGGCTGGCACTGCCCAACCCGGGGTTTACCCGGTGGGATATGAAGGGATGAACCCATAGGAAGGTTGGGAACAGCTGGGCTGTAGGTGGAAAGGGGTCTCACCCTCCCTCCCTGGGCACCTCGGGGGGCAGGAGGGTCGGTGGAGGGGGCAGTGCCAGCTCATTCCCTGGCAGCAATAAGAGGGAAGCTGGGGAAAGGAAAGGAGGGGGACTTTCCCAGGGAATTGCATTCCCAAAATGGGAAATAACTTTATTCCTGCTGGGCCTGGCTGAGGAAGGACAGAGGGGAAGACCCTGAACCAGCAAACCTGAACCTGGGGCAAAGAGAGAGGAACAGATTTCCAGGGAAAACACAGCTTGGGGAGGCACAGGAAGGCAGGAATATGGGAATAAAGGAATGCAGGATGACAGGAATACAGGACAACAGGAATACAGCCAGTTTGTGCCAGTGGAGTCCTGTTTGCTCCCAGCTCCAGGGTGCATCCCATAAAAAGGTGCCAGGAGGTCCCAGTGTGGGGCAGAACCCCCCAAGGACAAAGTGCATCCCAAATTCCAGGGGTTTTTATCCCTCTGGGAGCTGAGCTCCCCCTGGCAGAGCCCCTGCCTGAGCTCAGCCCAAGATCCAGGCTCGATCCCAGTAGGATTCCTGGGCTGGATCCAGCAGCAACATTGACTGAAAAAGGCAAGGAATTCCTGCAGGGAATCTGGGAGCTCCTCTGGGAGCACCGGGGTGACCAGGGAGGCACAGAGAGAGGCCTCCATCCCACCTGGGACAGACAGACCTTCCTGGACAGACAGATCCTGGCTCTGGAGGTGAAGGGGAAGGGGGGAGGGAGCTGTACCTGCCAGGGAAGCCTTTTCCCATCCCCAAGGAGCTCTGGCCCTAAAACTCGGGAATAGAAGAGAAGGTTCCAGGGAGACCTTCCAGGGGTTTATAAGAAAGGTGGGATAATGGTTTTAAGCTAAAAGCAGGGAGATTCCTGCTGGAGATCAGGAGGGAATGTTTTATGGGGAGAAGCTGGGATGGAATTTCCAGAGAAGCTGTGGCTGCTCTGCCCCTGGAAGTGTCCAAGGCCAGGCTGGAGAAGAAAAGGTTCCAAGGAGACCTTGGAGCCCTTCCAGGGCCTGAAGGGGCTCCAGGAGAGCTGGAGAGGGGTTTGGGACAAGGGATGGAGGGACAGGACACAGGGAATGGCTTCAAAGTGAAAGAGGGGAAATTTAGATGGGATATTGGGAAGGAATTCCTGGTTGAGGGTGGGGAGGGACTGGGATGGAATTCCCAGAGAAGCTGTGGCTGCCCCATCCCTGGAAGTGTCCAAGGCCGGGTTGGAGCAACCTGGGATAGTGGGAGGTGTTCCAGCCACAACTTCTCTGGAATTCCATCCCAGCCCCTCCCCGCCCTCCCAGGCAGGAATTCCTTCCCGATATCCCACCTGAACCTCCCCTTTTACTTTAAAACCACCTCCCTATCCCCAAATTTTATTTTTTATAACCACCTCCCAACACCCAAAGCTCCCCCTGCTGCCTTCCCTCCTCGGGGCTCCCGCATTTTCCCACTCCCAGCTCAGCTCCGGGTTGGAAAGCTGGGATAATCAGGAATGTCTGGGTGCATCCAGGGAGCAGAGGCTGAGCCCCATCCCTGCTGCCAGCCCAGAGGTGCCCAGAGGTGCCAGGGAGAGCCCTCCCTTCCCGGCCAGCTGGATCCCTCCTCCTCCAGCTCCGTCCCTGCCGCCTCCTTGTTTGGAATAAACATCTCGTTAGAGCTCTGCCGCTCCCGAATTAACGCGGAATTCGTGTTTCACAGCCGGGGAAAAGCTCGGCCCAACCCCCTGGAATTGTTGACAGGGCTCCTCTTCCTCCGTGAGCACCGTTTCCTCGCTCCTGTTCTTCTTTTTAGTTACTAAGGGAACATGAATCTTAATAAAACTCCATCAAATGTGCCTGAAATAACAGCTGCCTTCAGCCCACTGCCTGAGCAGAGGGCTGGGGCTTGGCTCGAAATTCCTGGGAAATTCAGATTACGGATCCAAAAGGTCTTTGGGGTTGGAAGAAACCTTAAAGATCATCTTGTTCCCACGGGCAGGGACAGATTCCAATAGCCCAGGTTGCTCCAGCCTGGCCTTGGACACTTCCAGGGATGGGGCAGCCACAGCTTCTCTGCCCAACCTCTGCCAGAGCCTTCCCACCCTCACAGCCAAGAATTCCTTCCCAATATCCCACTTAATTATTCCCACACCACTGCACAAGGTGCCTCTTGCCAGCAGGCAGCAAATGGGATCTGCTGGGAGATGGGAAAAAGCCCCCTCTGAGGGTGGCAGGGAAAGAGGTTTCTGCCTAAATGGAAGGGTTTTATAGGATCCCAGAATCCCAGACTCATCTGGGTTGGAAGGACCTGAAGGATCATCCCATCCCACCCCCTGCCATGGGACACTTCCCACTATCCCAGGTTGCTCCAACCTGGCCTTGGGCACTTCCAGGGATGGGGCAGCCACAGCTTCTCTGGGAATTCCATCTCAGCCCCTCCCCACGCTCACAGGCAGGAATTCCTTCCCAATATCCCATCTAAATTTCCTCTCTTTCACTTTGAAGCCATTCCCTGTGTCCTGTCCCTCCAGCCCTTGTCCCAAATCCCTCTCCAGCTCTCCTGGAGCCCCTTCAGACCCTGGAAGGGGTTTAAGGTCTCCTTGGAACCTTTTCTTCTCCAACCTGGCCTTTGACACTTCCAGGGCTGGAGCAGCCACAGCTTCTCTGGGAAAACCTATTCCGGGGCCTCCTGATTCTTCCCACAGCAAGAGGGAAATCCTTTCTCCTGAATACTCCAGGATATAAAACCGGGGATGCTGTGGAGCAGAAAATGTTGTATTTTGTCCTGAATGTGTCTGTTCCTCCCGGGATTTGGGATGGGAGCCAGCTGGGCATCTCCAGCTCCAAATGATTTATTGGGCTTCATTATCCAAGGATTTCTCACAGCTCCGGTGCTGGAATCCCCCAAGGGGAATTTTCCCGACCCGGATGTGCCCGTGGGAAGCACTGGGGGAGATTTAGGCTGGATGGGTCCTGGCATCTCCCAGAGGGGCTTTGGGGTTATTTTCTGGAGTTTCCACAGCACTGGGAGCACTCAGGCTCCGGGGGCTGCAAGGGGGGATTGGTGGGGGTGGTCTGGAAAAGTTGGTTGGATGTTCTCCAAATGACATTGGTTGGATGTTCTCCTGGGGAGGTTGGTTGGAGGTTATCATGGAAAGGTTGGTTGGATGTTCTCCCAAGAAGACTGGTGTGGATGTTCTCCAAAGGAGGTTGGTTGGATGTTCTCCCAGAAAGGTTGATTGGATGTTCTCCTGGTGAGGTTGGTGTGGATGTTCTCCCAGAAAGGTTGGTTGGATGTTCTCCCAAGAAGATTGGTGTGGATGTTCTCCTAAGGAGATTGGTTGGATATTCTCCTGGGGAGATTGGTGTGGATGTTCTCCCAGGAAGCTTGGTGTGGATGTTCTCCTGGAAAGGTTGATTGAATGTTCTCGTGGAAAGATTGGTGTGGATGTTCTCCTAAGGAGGTTGATTGGATATTCTCCTGGAAAGGTTGGTTGGATATTCTCCAAAGGAGGTGGGTTGGATGTTCTCCTAAAGAGGTTGGTGTGGATGTTCTTCTGGAAAGGTTGATGTGGGTGTTCTCCTGGGGAGGTTGGTTGGATGTTCTCCCAGGAAGGTTGGGTGGATGTTCTCCTGGACATGTTGGTGTGGATGTTCTCCCAAGAAGATTGGTGTGGATGTTCTCCAAAGGAGATTGGTTGGATATTCTCCTGGGGAGGTTGATGTGGATGTTCTCCAAAGGAGGTTGGTGTGGATGTTCTTCTGGAAAGGTTGATGTGGGTGTTCTCCTGGGGAGGTTGGTTGGATGTTCTCCCAGAAAGGTTGGATGGATGTTCTCCTGGAAAGGTTGCTGTGGATTTTCTCCTGTGTTAACTCCCTCCAGAGCTGCCAACTCCAGAAGTGCCTCCTGCTCCTCGTGACCCCCAGTGACTCCCCAGCCCTTTAACCCCCTCTGCCCTCTCTGTCCCTCTGCTCTGCCTCCCCAGCCCAGGAAAGCTGGACCCTGCAGACCTTCCCTCAGTGACGTGGCTGCTGGGACACGGCCTCCCCCTGCTCCTGCTGCAGTAGCAATGCTGGTGTCCCCACGGAGCTGCAGTGAGGTGGGTGCCCTCCTTCTCCTCCTGGAACCAGCCCCTGCTGCTGCCCAGCCAGAGGGAGGACAACTGGACACCTGTCCCTCAGCAGGAGGGAACACATTCCGACCTCGTGTCCATCCTGGGAGAACTCGGAGGCCAGGATGGGCAGAGCCAGAGCAGCCTGCTCTGACTGCAGAGTGAGGGAATTTTTGGTGGGAATTACGTGGGGTTTGGGTCCCTCTCCAGAGGATTTCTGGGGATTTGTGACTGGACAGATAAGTTCTGCACCAGTGCCCTGCCCTGCCCACCCACCCCACGCCCTTGTGCCCCTCGTGGGTGGCTTCTCGAGCTTGCTAAAAAAACAGGAATCCCTTTGGGAGCTTCCCTGCCCTTCCCTGTGCCTGTTGCTGTGGTTTGGGGTCAATTCCTGCTCCCTCACCGCCTCTGCTTTCCCATGTCCAATTCCTGCTCCCTCACCAGCTCTGCCTTCCCCATAACCAATTCCTTTCCCCATGGCCAATTCCTTTCCCTGCATCCAATTCCCTTTCCTGCATTTAATTCCCTTCCCTCTGTCCAATTCCTTTCCCTGTGCCCAATTCCCTTCCCTGTAGCCAATTCCCTTCCCCATCTCCAATTCCTTTCCCTGTGTCCAATTCCTTTCCCTGACTCCAATTCCTTTCCCTGTCTCTAATTCCTTTCCCTGTAGCCAATTCCTTTCCCTTCATCCAATTCCCTTCTGTGTCCAATTCCTTTCCCCATCTCCAATTCCTTTCCCTGTCTCCAATTCCTTTCCCTGTCTCCAATTCCTTTCCCTGCATCCAGTTCCCTTCCCTGTGTCCAATTCCTTTCCCCATGGCCAACTCCTTTCCCTGCATCCAATTCCCTTCTCTATGTCCAATTCCTTTCCCTGTGTCCAATTCCTTTCCCCATGGCCAGCTCCTTTCCCTGCATCCAATTCCCTTCCCTGTAGCCAATTCCTTTCCCCTTGTCCAATTCCTCTCCCTCCATCCAATTCCCTTCCCTGTAGACAACTCCTTTTCCCCCTGACCTTTCCCCCTTTCCCCGTGGCCAAACCCTTTCCCCGTGCCCAAATCCTTTCCCTGTGCCCAACCCCTCCTCTCTCACCGCCTCTCTTTCCCCTCCAGGAGCTCTGGGCTCTGGCAGGAGCGCACCCCGCGCCGGTGCCCATGGAGTGAGCGGTGCCCGGGGGTGAGCGGGCACAGCAGGACGCTGAAGTTTGGCTGCCCCGGCCCCGCCAAAATCCCCCCCCCCCCCGGTCCTTCCCGAGCCCTCCCCGCCTCTGCCATGAATGATGCATCGACGATGGATTATGAACTGCTCTCGCCGTCCCTGGTGGAGCACCCGGCGGGCGCCGCGGGCATGGACGCCGAGCAGAAAACTGTCTTTGCCTTCGTCATCTTCCTCCTGGTCTTCTTGGTGATGCTGATGGTTCGCTGCTTCCGCATCCTGCTGGACCCCTACAGCCGCATGCCCGCCTCCTCCTGGACCGACCACAAGGAGGGCTTGGAGAGGGGCCAGTTTGACTATGCCCTGGTGTAGAGGGCAGGGCTGGGGCGAGCCCGGGCGCTCCCCGTGCCCCCCAACCCGGTCCCGGCCCCCCC